TAAACTGCTCGTGCCCTAATTCTAAGATTCAGCTTTCGAGTATTTCTTAATTAATCCATAATTCAGGAGGAACAGAACTTAGGGTGCAGTGGACCAGAGAAACAATAACGGAATAGAATAAATGAATTCCTGTTATCCCTGCTCATGTTTAGTTCTTATCCCTAACTAGTACTGAGAAGCCCTAGCAATTTTGGCAGCCCTCCTTCAAATCAGCACATTAAAGCCATGGGCCATGATTTCACAAGTGGATTATCATGTATTGCAAGAGTGGGTTATCATGGGAAATTCAGAAGAACAGAGCACAACACTGAGAAGAACCATGTTTATTGCAAACACCCATGTTGGGTGCCTGCTTTACAAGAAAGAGGAATCCTGAATGATGGGAACGCAAAGATTTTTATAGAAGTTGAGGGCTACCAGGCAGGAAATCCTAGGGTTCAGATTTGTTGGCAACTTTTGGGGAAGCTATCCAGGTCCTTGTCCATATACTGAGGTGAGTTCTATGGTTAGGCAAAATGGGCCTTTCAGGAGGTCTGCAGAAATGAGGAAGTTCATTGTGAAGGAGATGGATTGTTGAGGTCATCAACTGATGGAGGATGGAAGGCTGGGGTTTCTCTAGGTTGCAACTCCCTTGTAAGGGCTGCCCTTGGGCTGTGTTGTGAGCTGGTGAGGAGGCTCCTATTCTTTGGTTTAGATGGGATTGCAGAGGCTCTGTCTGGCAGAAGGGAGGGTCAGTTTGGGTCTGATGGGATTAGGGAAAGAGATGAACTGGATTTGACCCTGGTCACCTCTACAAAACAGGGAGGAAAAGGGCGCAATCTCCATTTTGTTTGTTACATCTATTTTCTCCATCAGACGGGTAAAGCAAAGAATAAGCAAGTTAGGCAAACTCAGAGAGTGTATCATAAAACCTTGTGTTCATGTAGCCCTACTCCAATCAGTAAGAGTTCACCCTAAATTCAGACAGATGCCTTTTCCAGTGTTGCTGCCTGACCACATAAAAGCAGAATTGGAAGGATTCTCAGGGGCCATATAGTAAAATCTCATACATGTAGTGCCCAATATGACTACTGTACCCTGCTGGACATCCAGCTTCTGCTTTAAGTACATCTAATGAAAGACTGTCCAGCACTTTTTCAAGTAATTCCATTGCAAATCAGCTCTTAGCATGAGGAAATTTTTCCTAATATCTATTACCTGAAATCTGCTTCTCATCTTAATTGTGCCTTTTGGAACAAGAGGTAACCAATTTGTTCCATCTTACACAGGCAAGCTAATATTTTTCTTCTTCATTTTCTCGAGGCTTTAACATAACCAGCTGTTTACAACAGCTTCTTACAGCACTTGGTTTCCTGATCCATCACCGTTGTCATCATCCACCTCTTAAGTGGACCTGCCAGGAGTAGGACTTGGTTTCAGGACACCAGATGCAGCTACTTTGCTGGAGTAAACCAGTCCCAGCCAGTGTCTGGATAGGAGACTCTTAGTCTGCATGTACTTTTGGACTGACAAAGTTGGAAACTAGACATTTAAAAATGTTTGAAGGTAGAGAAATGTTGATTTAATGAGCTATTCTTAACATTTTTGCCTTTCAAATTTCATTAATAGGAGTAAAAACTAAGGGAACTGATCCAGTCAAATTGATGAGAACTTCCTTTGTTTTCAATGGGAGTGATTCTCCTATTGGAATCCATGCAACTCAGAAGTATTAAACTTTGGCTGGAGTTCATAACGGAGGACTAAAATTCAGCTGTTCAGTTTAAATTCTGATTGTTTTTTTACTCCTATGATTTGTAAAATGTAATTTTCAGTGTCAGTGGCAAATGTAGCTAACTTTAATAACAGCAGGTGCCAGACCTCTAACCTCAACTATCTTTATGATAACATTTCAAGTTTTTCAGTGCTTACGCTAGTGAACTAAGGAAAATCAATAGTCAGCAAGTAAGAGATAATAATTGCTTTGAATGAGTGAAACTTAAAACTGGATTTTCAGAAGGGATGGTTTCCTTACTTTTAATACTGCGCAGGACTTCCTAGTAGTCTTATTTCTGCAAAAAAAAAAAAAAGCTTCTGTTTCTCTAATTAATTTACAAGGTACTGTAGAACTAAGGAAAGGTTCCCACTTTTTATATTATTGTTAAGAAATCAGAAGTGATGGAAGGGAGGCAGTGCTGTACTTTCTTTTTTCAACGGTGTATCTCTCCATGATTCTATAAATTCCCTGGCTAACCATACTTCCCAATTGGAAGAAACCCCCATGGGAGGAGCTCCCCTATGAGCATTTTCTTGGAATTTCATGGGAATGTGGGAAGCCAGGGAGGCTGCAGACAGCCAGAGAAACGATTGGACAGTGAAAGACCAGATGTTCACATGCATCCTAGGATGAGTGCAAGAGGCTCCACAACTCAACCATGAGAATGATTCCCGTGTTTTCTTCTCCTTAGAGGAAACAAAATCAAAAGCTCTTTCTTTTACATCACATGGAGTAAGAAGAATTGGAAAAAACCAAAGATCTGTTTTGACGCAGAAGGATGTACTTTGCTGCCCTCCACTTTCCCACACGCCATACAAGCTGGATCCTTTTGCAACATGGGCCTTGCATCCTAGTGCTGAAGCCCCACACCTAACACTCGCCCGGGCAGAAGCCACTTAAAGGGAGACTGGGAAGTCTAGCTAACCCTGTAGTCTCCGGAAATGGAAGCCGTTTAATGGAAGGCAGGGGCCAGTTGCGGAGGGAGGGGGGAAATGTACAAGCCAACTAAGCTTCAGAGCTGCATACTAACTGGGAGATGAAAGAGCCAGAGGCCTTCTGAAGTATGTGCTGTCTCAATGATTAATGGGGGTGAGGGAAGGGTGAGGCCCAGCCCTTAGTATACTACAAGATGGCAAAGTGATTCTAAGAACAACAGAGCAGTGTTCATGGAGGAGAGCTAGTCTGCCTTCGCCAAGAAAATCTCCTGGTGCGGTTTTTAAAAGCCTCTTTATTTCCAGTATCAAAACAGTACATTAAAATAGATGCCGAGAGCCAAGCAATCATTAAAAATAAACCAACGGTGATGTGTAACATACAGTGAAAGTGTGGCTTGCAGCAGCCAGAGGGCTGTGAGTTGGTTCTCCTCCTTCTAATGCATTCTCTGTTCTGCTTCTGATGGTGAGACAATGACGCCCACTTGCAGCCATTTGCTCACCCAGGAATCCCGGGACGCAGGTGATTCTACAGCAGCGCTATTTCACAAGAGATGCTACTCTGCCTCTGGGTGTGCGTGCACACGTGTGTGTGCGTTCCTTTTAAAGTGTTTAAAATGTAGACTTGTAGTTTTAGATTTTACGAGATGCTTTAGAAAGGCCTTGTTCCCAACAGAGACTGAACGCTGTCTCAAAAAATGGGCCTTTAAGGCTAGGTTGGTTTGGAACAGAGTCGCCTGCTTGCTTCCTAGGCCCTTTAGGTGGGCTGCGTTTGGAGACAAAAGAAAAAAAAAGTGGGGGGAGGAAAGTGTAATGTACAATCGGCTGTCTCTGCTGCAGAAGCATTACAGTCCTGTTTAGATGAGGCAGATAATAGCAAAATAGGAGAGTGGGATTTAAGAGGGTATTCTAAACCGTGTTGGGATTCTTCAGTTTTTCAGGGGTCGGAGGGGGGTGTCTCAGTAAAAGGAATGCAGCATACCCCCTCAAAGGATAGCTTGCTATCCACCCCTGGAGATCTTCCTTTGCATGATTCACTTCAGGGGAGTTTTCAGGTGAAATCTCATTTCACATTGAACTCCGCTGGTTCCTCATGAACGGACAAGAACATTTCCTAGCATCTTCTGCAGCCTGGGTCTGTTCCTCAGTGGAAGAGTCCAAAACGAAGGATTAAAAGTTTGAAAACCTTGGCAGCATTTTCTAGGGAAAAAAAAATTTGCAAGTCTTCGTTTCCACTGGGGTTTTGGGGTAAACGCTTTGAAGCTCATCAGCCCTAACAACTTGCCAAGGGAGAAGGAGAACTTCCATCACATCCACACCCTGGTCAGAATTTTGGGAAAGGGAGGAAGGAGTTAACTCTCCCTGCCCACTGTTGCTGCAATTCCTAGGGACCGGTTTTTGCTAAAGGGCCCCCAGTTGCTTATTCTGCCCCTGGTTACATGCATGTTGTGGTGAGCTATTACTTAACCAAGTGTTATCTGTGCTTGCCCATTAAACGTTTAAAGATTCCTGCAATTAGGGCAAGATGACTGTAATGTCAAAGGGAGGTTCCATCCTGTAGACAGAAGGATCACAGTGGAATAAAAAGGAAGGCCCTGAGCTTCTGAAAAAAGCAAGGCTTGGAAGTATCCCCTTTTAATTACTTTCTTTAATTTTGGGAAAAGGAATGCCCTGCAAAGCTAAAGCAACCCAGGTGAATCTTCTTTCCCCCATATGGAGGCAACGGGTTGCTTCTGCTACTGAATGGCTGAGATCCACAGTCTGACATCTTTTGTAAAAGTATATTAGAAAATGTGTTTCATGCAACACAGAGACCAGATTATTATTATCATCATCATCATCATCATCATCATCATCATCATCAT